GGATCCACTGATCTCTGGATTGCTGATTCCCCGTCAGTAGTAGCCATATTGGTACTCCCTCCTTAGACCGGTCTCAATGTAAACAATCCGTGCGCTACAGCATCGAACAATGATGTTCTCATTTTCAGGGACTTAATGCTTTTAAAATAAAGATAAATTCATCACTTTGACACAGACAGGCTGTTTCACAGCATCAGTAGATTAACTTTAACTTAGAATGAACCCTATAATGCCAAATGTATCATATTTGATACATTCGGTTTCTGAAATGTTTTGCGTCTGACACCTTTTGCATAATTTAATGGTAAAAACTTTGCTCAAAATCCTACTGCACACAATCAGATATACCTGATAACAGAGGGCAGAAGACTGCACAAAAAATAATATTGACTTATCGCATAGTAATAAATTATTAATATCAAAATTTAATTTCAGTTTTTTGTTTTTACATATTTTGTTAAAAGGCCAAATAAGGACTTCAAACCAAAAAAAAGTAATTTTCTGTTTTATTTTATTCTTGGATCGGGTTAAACAATCAGCTCATCACATTGCATACTCATTATAAAGTCAATGAAGTCTATAAATCACGTAATATAACATATTATACAACTTAATCACAATAAAATTAATGTGTTAATAGAGCATCTTTAATAGTGTTGCACCGATACCGACTAGGGCTAGGTAAAAAAATCGATTCGATTGAATCGATTCCTTTACATTTTTGCAAAATCGATGTCTAGGGAATTAGATCGATTCATTTTATAGTGATGCACGTGACGTTCACATTCAAATGAGCAGGAAAGATGCACTCAGGATGACTTCAAGCCAGACAGCTGCAAATATAGCCACTAGTTTGACTGAAGACATTAACACAGGGGTCACCAACGTGGGGCCCCCTAGGACAACATGGGGTGCCCTCAGCATCTTTTGAAAACAGAACAATTCACCAGTGGACTAAATCCGAAATATTATTTTTTACTGAAGCTCTTATTTTGAAGCATTTATGAAGCATTTTATCATATCAATAAATTAGAACATTTGAGGATTTATATGGATTTCATAATGAGAATATCTAAAAGCAAATAAAAAATGAAAAGAAACAATAGAAATATGTTTATTATCTGTGAAGTTCAGGTGAACGGTGACTCCTCTGGTTCATAGGTCAGTATTGGTAGCCCGTCCTTTGACTCAGTACCCATAAAGCCTTAAAAAAGTTGGTGACCCCTGCATTAACAAATGGAGGCTGACCAGCAAACACCCTGTAGACGATGCAGACAACGCTGCACATATGGTTAGTGTAGTGAAGATAAAGCAGCTCATGAACGTCTGCTGTGTCCCGTCTGCTCGCTCATGTGAGGATTCACTTTTTCACAAACAAGTTTGCACTTTTGAGAGTTTTATTCACATCTCAAGTTTAAACTGTCTGATTTACAAGTTTGCACTTTGTGTTTAAAATGATACGAAAAAATAAAATACATGAGTGTTTTGAAACACAGTTGAACCACTTTCATTATTGTAAAAACGAAATTAATCAATTTAGAACCGAATGAATCAAAATTGAATCGATTCAGGACTTTGGCGAAAACACCCAGCCCTGATACAGGCACCAGTATTGGGCAGAGACCCGATCCAGCTCTAAAATGATGCTATCAGTGCCCTATTTCTCGCTACTCGCCAATACCAATACTATCATTTTAGTGCAGATACCATTTAGAGAGCTGAAAGTTTCTAAAACTATTGTCACCCACTCCAGGTAAGCAATAAAAAGTTCTACTGGATTCACTTTTAGTCTTTTTCCTGCTTCACAAAGGTAGGCAGCAGCTTGACATGAAGCCATGATGGTGATTATTTTACATCCAACTATTATGCAGTTCTTCAT